GCAGACATAAAAAAGGATGAGTTTGTGTCCTTTGTAGGGACATGGATGCAGCTGGAAACCATCATTCTTAGCAAACTATCACAAGAACAGAAAACCAAACACCGCATGTTCTCACTCATAGGTGGGAACTGAACAATGAGATCACTTGGACTCGGGAAGGGGGACATCACACACGGGGGCCTATTATGGGGAGGGGGGAGGGGGGAGGGATTGCATAGGATTTATACCTGATGTAAATGACGAGTTGATGGGTGCAGCACAGCAACATGGCACAAGTATACATATGTAACAAACGTGCACGTTATGCACATGTACCCTAGAACTTAAAGTATAATAATAAATAAATAAATAAATAAATAAATAAAAAGAAATGATGTATAATTGACTAATTTATAGTTACTAGGCATATGTGAAAATAGATCTAGTAAGGTAATCATTATGAAAGCAAATTTGTTCAATTAATACAGAAGTCTTTTATTAGTGTGATAATTGAGAATTTTTAGCACCTTGTTCTCTATCATTCACTTGGAAATTATTTTATATTCCTTCCAGTTTTTACATGCCGCATACAATCAATAATTAAGCTTTATTGATTCCTGGCCCCTCTTCTCCATCTGTACTGTCATTGCTCTAGCTGAGGCCATCTTCAGCTGTCACCTCAGTACTGCATGAGTCTTGTCTCCTCTGAGCTATCCAGTGGTTTAGGAGGATAAATGGTGTCTGGGGCAAAGTGATGTTTGTTCTCCCTCTGTAAACACATGCACTGTTACTCTAGAATTTGCATTCATTTCTTTAGGGCACTCTTCCCTATGCCCCAGCACCTGTCCCCTATTTTTCTTCCAGAATGATCTTTCTGACCCAAATATCTGGTATTACTCTCTTGCTTCAATAATTTCTCATCATCTGAAGCAGAAGTAGCAACTGCCAAAGCTCTCAGGGGCCAGACAGGTAGCAGAAGTGACAACTGAACAAAGCAGACTATTGCAGAGTGGTGACATTAGAGCCTGTCAAATGTGAGAAAATGTGGCCAGAACTTCCAGGTCTTCAAAAGAGACTGGAAATCCAGATTTTATGTGAAATCGTTTAGCTTTTAAATGTCAACAAATAATTCATCACGTTTTAAAGCACGGCATAAGCCAAACAAGCCGCTTGTGGAGTCTGTGAACAATCAACTTGTGAACTCTGACCTGATAGGATAAGATCCAGATTCCTTAGAATGGCATAAAAGATTCTTCATGATCTATTTTCTGTCTACCTTACCAACCATATCTCTTGCCCATTCTTCCTGCCCCCCCCAAAAAAAAGTATACTTCATCAATTCTGAGTTACTCTCCACTTTCAGAAAAAAAGTGTAGCATTATTTTCCTTTGTGCTTTTGCTTCTATTCCTGCACATAGAGTGTCCTCCCTAACTCACATTGCATCACTTCCAAATACCTCATTCAATTCTCCCTTGATTAGTCACCTAGCTTAAGTGTCACCTCCTCCTGGAAGCCATCTGTTTCCCTACCACTCCCCTCCCTTGCCATTTGGAATCCATGTCTCTTGGATAGGTTCCTAAAGCATTAAGTAGATCCTAGTCATTAATTGAAATAAAGCCTATAAGAGAAGGAAGTGTATGTGAGGGGATATTAAGTTCCATTTCATGTGTGTTAGGCTTGAAGATTTCATGTCAGTAGGCAGTTGTGTAAATAGGTATGGGACTTAGGTGCAATATTTTGCCTTGAGGTGGGGATCTGAGAAAAATTAAATAGAAAAGAGAGCTAAAGATGAAATCCTGTGAAATAAGAGGTAGGCAGAGAAAAAGGGGGCTTATAATAGGAGTCTGAAAAGTAATTAGAGAGTTAGGAAAACCCAGAAGAAAGTAGTATCATGGAAGACAAGGGAAAATTTCCAGAGGGAGGAAATATTCACCATGGTCAAATAATGTAAAGCACCTTTTGGATTTAGCAAAGACATCAGTGCTAATCCTGATAAAACTAGTTTAAAGGAAGGTGGTTGTTGAACCAAACTTCAGTGGACTGAGGAATGAACAGAAAACATGGATATATGTAGAAAGCTGAAACTGGATCCCTTCCTTACCACTTATACAAAAATCAATTCAAGATGGAGTAAAGACTTAAATGTTAGACCTAAAACCATAAAAACCCTATAAGAAAACCTAGGCAATACCATGCAGGACACAGGCATGGGCAAGGACTTCATGACTAAAATAGCCAAAGCAATGGCAACAGAAGCAAAAATAGACAAATGGGATCTAATTAAACTAAAGAGCTTCTGCCCAGCAAAAGAAACTGCCATCAGAATGAACAGGCAACCTGCAGAACGGGAGAAAATTTTTGCAATCTACCCATCTGACAAAGGACTAATATCCAGAATCTACAAAAACTTAAACAAATTTACAAGAAAAAAACCAAACAACCCCATCGAAAAGTGGGCAAAAGATATGAACAGACACTTCTCAAAAGAAGACATTCATGTAGCCGAGAGACACATGAAAAAATGCTCACCATCACTGGTCATCAGAGAAATGCAAATCAAAACCACAATGAGATACCATCTCACGCCAGTTAGAATGGCAATCATTAAAAGGTCAGGAAACAGGCCAGGCACGGTGGCTCACGCCTGTAATCCCAGCACTTTGGGAGGCTGAGGCGGGGGAATCACGAGGTCAGGAAATCAAGACCATCCTGGTTAACACAGTGAAACCCCATCTCTACTAAAAATACCAAAAAAAAAAAAAAAAAAAAGAAAGTCCGGAAACAACAGATGCTGGAGAGAATGTGGAGAAATAGGAACACTTTTACACGGTTGGTGGGAGTGTAAATTAGTTCAACTATTGTGGAAGACAGTGTGGTGATTCCTCAAGGATTTACAACTAGAAATACCATTTAACCCAGAGATCTCATTACTGGGTATATAACCAAAGGATTATAAATTATGCTACTATAAAGACACATGCACATGTATGTTTATTGCAGCCCTATTCACAATAGCAAAGAGTTGGAACCAACCCAAATGTCCATCAATGATAGACTGGATTAAGAAAATGTGGCACATATACACCATGGAATACTATGCAGCTATAAAAAAAGGATGCAGGGACATGGATGAAGCTGGAAACCATCATTCTCAGCAAACTATCACAAGGACAGAAAACCAAACACCACATGAGCTCACTCATAGGTGGGAACTGAACAGTAAGGAAACTTGGACACAGGGCAGGGAACGTCATGGGGGGCCTATTGCGGGGTGGAGGACTGGGGGAGGGATGGCATTAGGAGAAATACCTAATGTAAATGACGAGTTGATGGGTGCAGTAAGCCAACATGGCACATGTATACCTATGTAACAAACCTGCAGGTTGTGCACATGTACCCTAGAACTTAAAGGATAATAAAAAAAAAAAAAAGAAAGAAAGAAAGAAAGAAAACATGGATATGTAAACCATGAATATAGATGACTTTTTATCAGGAGCACTTTGTTTTGTGAATTGGAGAACAAACATTAGAGTTGTATATAAGGTCAAGGAAATATTTTTTGTAGGAGCTATCTATGGGTTTAATTTTAGTATTTCTCAACAGGGGTTATTAGCATTTTGGGAAGGGTACTTAGTTATTGTTTGGAAAATTCCCACACATTGCAAATTATTTAGTTATTACTCTCTTCCTCACTAAACCACAGTAGTGTTCCACAATCATTTTGATAATCAAAAACACCTCACCCACATGTCCAAATATCTCTGGAGTAATGGCATTGACTCTAATTATTAGAGAGTCACAACACGGTCTCCCATAATCCATTCTTTTTCTCCCTCAATATTTTATTGTGAGAAATATCAAACAGCAAAGTTGAAAAAATAGTAAAAGATACTTGGATACCTGTGACCTAAATTCAGAAATTAAAATCTTACCAAACTTGCATTATCTACTTATATGCATTTGTATTTATTTTTTATTTCATGAAATCATTTGAAAGGAAGTTGTCAACATCATATTTAACATACTCATCTCCTTAAATTAAGGATACATTCCTACAAAATCACATTATTATTACATCTTAGAACAGAAATAACAAAAATTCCTCAATATCATCTAAAACAATCCATATTCAAGTTTTCCAATAATCAATTATATATAACTTTTTTCCAAACTGGAACCTAATCAAAATTTACAAGCTTAATTGGTCATTATGGTTTTCAGTATCTTTTAATCTAGAACATTTTTATTTAAAGTTTTTTACAACACTGACTTTAAAAGAGACCAGGCCAGTGCCCTAGAGATTAACCTACATTTCAGGTTTTTCTGATTAAGTATGTGTGGTATCATTTAATATGTTACTTCCATGTTTCTAGTACAGTGACAGTTGATCTGAAAGGCCTGGTTAAACTCAGGCTAAAATCTAGGTAATGCTTAGGCACATAATGGAGGTGGCTCTACTATTAATGGTGCTATGCTTGATCATGGAATTGAATCTTTGGTCAGTATACACTGTTGATTGCAGGGAATGAGTGTTTACATTGTTATAGTTTTAGCACTAACACAGGGCTTGGTACATACAGAGTACCAATAGGGTACTCATAAATACTGGCTTAATGAATGGTGAATAAATGAATGATTTAAACTGATGTTAAGTGATACCTAATAAAACTGAGAGTTGGGTTTTGACACACATATTCTAGAATCCTTGGTTATAGATCTGAAGAAACAAATTGAGTGTTTATACACTCAATTGCTGTTACAGTTTTTTTTTTTTTTTTTGAGACAGTCTCACTCTGTCGCCAGGATGGAGTGCAGTGGCACAATCTCAGTTCACTGCAACCTCCGCCTCCCAGGTTCAAGTGATTCTCCTGCCTCAGCCTCCCAAGTAGCTGGGACACCAGGCACACGCCACCATGCCCAGTTAATTTTTGCATTTTTAGTAGAGACAGGGTTTCACCATGTTGGCCAGGATGGTCTCGATCTCTTGACCTCGTGATCCACCTGCCTCAGCTCCCAAAGTGCTGGGAAAATGCTGGGATTACAGGCATGAGCCACCACGCCCAGCCACTGCTGTAGTTTTAAATCATGTATTTCATAAGGAGCACATAATCTTCTGTTCACTTGAGTGGACCCCTTCCAAGGCCCTGAACTTAATTATTTGTAATTTTAAATCCTTTTTCTTAAAGAAGAATCTCTAAACTGTAACAATATCAGGTTCCAGAAAACCTGGATACACCCTCAGCTCAGATCTTTCCCGGTTAAATCAGTATCTTTTCTTCTCCCACTCTTTACTGCAAGTAACTTCAGAAATTGTTTTTCGCTCTCTTTAGCCCAGTTTTTTTCTTCACTACATTTAGTGGTATCTGAATTAAAATGTATTCATTTTCTGTCCCTCCTCACTAGAATGTAAGCTCATTGATGGCAGGTACTTCATTTGTTTCATTCACTCCTGTGTCCCCAGAACCCAGAATAATGATTGACAAAGAACAGGTGCCAATCAATACATTTTTACTGACTGACCTCAGATCCACCAAACTGCTACATTTCAGCCATGTTTGTGGCACAGCTATGTTTGGCTAGTGGGAGTCCCAGGCTTACGTACCAGCCTCCATGAAGCAGCCATTCATTTTGAGATCCTGTCACATTCTGGCTACTTCCAGAGATCTGTGAGCAAATCCTTGCTGTTCAAGAGACCAACAGACTTCTCTCTCATTCTTTTGAGCCTTGGTGTCACTTATTATTCTCAGTGAAATCCTTCTTTCCCATGGAAACACCCAAGGATGGCTTGGGTCAACCCCTCTGCTTGGTTCCACCCTAAGTAAAAATAACATTCCATGGAATTATGGTCAAAATTTTTGTAAAGTGAAAATAAAGGCAAATTTAGAAAACTGCTATTTTTATTGATTTATAGTGCTCTGCAAATAGAACTTCATTAAGTTTCTAGCACCCTCATATACTAATTCCAATCAGATCACTAGCCCTAAACTCTTATTAAATAGAAATTGGTGGGTGGACATTTCAAGTTAGGAGGGAAAATGTTTTGAAAGCAACTTCTGCTTTCTTCCTTGCCACAAACCTGCCCTGAGGCAAGGAAGCAGAGTTGCTATCAGTTTAAATAAGGGAAGGAAAAGGCAAATACAAGAACACAAACAAAATCTCAATTTTTTTCTCTCTCACATACATTATTCATTTAATCTTTAAGACAACCACATGAAGCTGATATTCCCACCTGCCAAAATTGAGCACGGTCAGCATGTTTTGGTTCTCATGAATACCTTACTTTGTTTTTGCACTCTGGTCTGTGAAGGAATTTTAAAGCTTTTCCTGAGATTTGATTTGAAGGACAATTGAATGGATCCCTCAACTAAATACTAGTGATCCAAACAGAACTCATGCACTTAAACTTGCCTTCCAGATATTGAAGAAAACTTCATCTTGTAATTTATTCTTGTAATTTCAGTGCCATGGAGAATGACTCTTATTTTTGAAATTCCTTCAGTACAGATATTTCATACAAATTGGCCTTCCTGCCAATTCCTTGCCTTGACACCTTGAGTTGGGTGTGCCACTAAGGCCTATCCTGTAACCTTCACTTAATTAATCATAATAATTATTACACATACTAATTAAAGTCAGCCAGCTTCCTAAAGTGTAGGACATGTAGACTGGTGGTACATGAGGTAATGTTATAATAGGTAGACGTAACATTAAAACAACAGTGAAGCACTTAGCAAAATATTCTTTTTTCACTATCTTTTAATCTTTCTGATTATGCTAAATTGAAAAATCTTAGGTTGATGCTCATATGTCCAACTCTTGCCAATATCCCTTTTTTAACAAACTGAGAGCATGGCTTGGGTTCAGGCCCTTGACAGACAACCTAACTAATGTTTTGTTTTCATTGTATTTGCTTTAACAGTCTTATGTCAAGTGAAAATGTTTTTCACTTACCAAAGCAACATAATGTTGCTTTAAAATAAATTTGTCTTAAAAAGGTTAAAGAAAACATTAAGGAAATACCAGTATTTGTGGTTCTTGAATTTGGCAACAAAATTGATAAAGTTTGGGAAATATTAAATTAATTCCTATGAAAGGGACATGTGACATTCTGACACGTGATACAGGTTGGGAGTCATGTGCAATGAAGATGAGTTATTTCTTTAGCAGCATAACTGCACTTTAGATTGTTGCCAGACACTCATCTGATTCCCAGTTTTGGGAGACCAAAGAAGTTTCATGAGCTATCAGCTATTACTTGTACTGTGATAGGCTTAGTTTCTTGAAATGAAGTCGGATGTGGCAGAAAATTTACCCTGAAGTAAATTAGAAACTCACCTTGTAATCCAGAGGCAAGGCAAAGGATTAGATGCTATGATCTAGAAATCAGGATTGATCTAGCAATGGAGTCTGAAGCAAGTTAGGGTGGTTCCGTGTTGGTTCTGGTCAACTCCCTGTGTAGGACTAAATAAATTATGATGTGAACAGATTGTAAACTTTTCTCCAAAATTTTTTTTTTTTTTTCTACTTTTGAGACAGAGTCTTGCTCTGTCACCCAGGCTGGAATGCAGCGGTGTGATCTTGGTTCACTACAACCTCTGCCTTCTGGTTCAAGTAATTCTCCTGTATTCTCGGGTTCAGCCTCCCGAGTAGCTGGGATTACAGGTGCATGCCACCACACTCAGCTAATATTTTTATTTTTAGTAGAGACAGGGGTTTTGCCATGTTGGCCAGGCTGGTCTCAAACTAGTGACCTCAGGTGATCCGCCCACCTCAGCTTCCCAAAGTGCTGGGATTATAGGCATGAGTCACCCTGCCCAGCCTTTTCTTCAGGTTCTTAAATAAAACTTTGGAAAGAAATTATTATGCAATGAAAGAGAGTTTGGCCCAGGTGTAGAATACAGAAGATTTAGAAACAAGGTCTTTGTTGACTGTTCTATTCTCAAGTGTATAAATGTAAATTAGTATCTCAGATTTAAATTAGGGATAATTTGTGTCTGTGTTTTTTTTTTTTTTTTTTTTGTAAAGATAGGTTCCAGCTCTGTCACTCAGGCTGTAGTGCAGATAGCTCACTGCAGCCTCGAACTCCTGGACAGAGTTCTCCTCAGCCTCCCAAAGTGGTAGGATTACAGGTGTGAGTCACTGCGCCGGGACTGTGTGTGTCAATAAAAAATTTTGCTTGTTCTGCAATTAACCCAAGGTCTTCAGTACCATTAATTCACTAACAACAATTAAAAAAAAACCCTCCCTAAAGACAAAGTAGGTGGCAGTTGAAGAGCACTTTCAATATTAACATAGAATATCTTGAACCTTAGAGCCACGAAAGAAGAAAAACTAAATTCAGTGAAATTTGCACATGATAACGGTCTTGGTTGGTTGGTTGGTTTTTCCCTGACAGCTTCTGGGAACTGAATGAACTTAATTATGTTTTATTAATAAACTATTATTAATTTTGCATCCTGAAATAAGTGCTTGAATCAGGAATAGCATACTTCCCACTAAACTCCTTTTGCCTGAATGAAAACTTGAGATACCCATCTGTATTTCAAGGGCACTTTTAAGAGCTACCAAATACGCCATAACATTCTTGGAAAACAGTATATGCTGTCAATTTGCCTAGGTAGAGAGAGGAGCTGATAAGGAAATCCTCAAGTTCCTTTCTTTTATTCTGAGCTGTATTCTGTGGATAGGGATTTTGCATTTCAGTGCTAACAATGTTTTTCAGCACCTAACACCATGAATATTCAAAGGTCTGATGTTATCATTAATGTATGTTATGAACATACAATGGTACATCTTATGAATATTACATTCATTTTCTATTTCTACAATGTTTTCAGGGGAAATATTTTTACCCTAACCTGGATTCTATTACTATCCTATTAATTGTGGTTCAGAAAATTGTCTCACAGGCAGAGTAGTTTCTTAATTATATTTTACTCAATAATTTTCTCAATATGATAGGCTGTGTAGTCCACTGGAAAAGGCATTATGCTGACAGTAACAAAAGCTTATTTGTTCACTGCTCTATCTCCAGCACCCGGAACAATGCCTTACCCAGAACAGGTGCATAGTATTTGCTGAGTGAATTCTAATCCTACTTCTGGGTAAAATTAAGTAAATTATCTAGTTCTTGAGGGACTTAATCTAGACGACCCCTAATCTTCCATGGCAAGGTTTTGTGGTTTTTATTTTGGCTTTTCTAAATGCTTTAAAAATAGTAGTGGATAATAACGATGTAGTGTTCAGTAAAATCAATTGGTGGAGATTGTAGATAGATGGCTCATAAGACATCAGTATTACAAATCCTATGTGTGTGCGCGTGTGATCATACAAGGCAAAGTTAAAGTCTTTTTTTATGAAGATGATAAATTACAGTCTTGTTTGGGCAAGTGAACTCAAGAGGTGGTTCAAATAAATGTCATATTTTTCATTGTATATTCAGTGCCTAGTACAGTTACTGGCTCATAGTAGGTATTCAAAAAATAGTGGTTGAATTAACAGCCTTCATTAACATTCCGTTTAAATACTAGACGCAGCTAGGTCTCTAACCCTCCTTAGAAAGAGATGGAGCTGTAACCAGAAATCCCTTAAAAGGTAAGGACCAGTAATCAGGCTGAGCTAAGCTCATGGGTCCTACGAGACAGGCTTAAAGCACTGAAGGAAGAGAACTCAAGCGTGAGAGAAAGCAAAACAAAAGTAAAGAGAAGAGGAAAAACATTTCTAAAGTGGGGGTTGGCAGGAAGCCACCGCAATTACCGCAGGTCAACCCTGGCCAATAGGTGGTCACCTCAAGAACTTACCATTAAAACCCTCGGCTACACAGACCTCACTTTTAAAAGGTTATTAATTCTGACATGCCCAAGTTCATCTGAGTTCCTTAGAGCAACCACCAGCACCTACTTCACGACCTATCCTCCATTCCATTCAAATAACGCAGCCAATAGGAAAATCCTCCGCCTTGAGCCAACGACTCAGCGTAGCTGAAACAGGCCGGGAGGCAGATCTGCCCTGTAGACCCTTGCAGTTCCACTGCTGGCCTCCGGATTACCGGGAGCCCCCAGCCCGGCAGGACAACCTTCCTTCCCCGCTTCCTCCTTTCCAGGTCTGTCCCAGCCCCCGCTGCCTGGGCCACACCCGCTTCCCTCCGGTGGCCCAGCCACCCCCGCCGCAGTTCGCGGGAGCGCCTTTCCTGGGGCGGGCGCAGGCCCAGGGCGCATGCGTACTGGTCGAAGGGCACCTCCCAGTCCGGATCTCGCGAAGTTACGTTAGATTGGCCGCCGGTGACGGGTGGCCGTGCTGGGGGCGGGAGGGCTTCTGTGGTAGGAAGGGAGGTCCGCTCGGCCGGGCGCGCCGCCCCAGTGCTCTGTGGGATACTGGAAGTCTCGAGCGTCTCCTCCCGGTTCCCAGCCCTCCTCTGGCCCTCACTCATAGAAACATTCACACACCCCCTGCCTCCCCTCTCTTCCCTCTCCGCCTCCCCCTTCCACCCCTCGCGATAAGAAGACCCGGCGGCAGGAGAGGGGATGAAGATGGCGGACGCGAAGCAGAAGCGGAACGAGCAGCTGAAGCGCTGGATCGGCTCCGAGACGGACCTCGAGCCTCCGGTGGTGAAGCGCCAGAAGACCAAGGTGAAGTTCGACGATGGCGCCGTCTTCCTGGCTGCTTGCTCCAGCGGGGACACGGACGAGGTCCTCAAGCTGCTGCACCGCGGCGCCGACATCAATTACGCCAATGTGGACGGACTCACTGCCCTGCACCAGGTCTGTGCGCCCAGTCGCCGGCTCTCCTGACCCTGAGGGTCCTCGTCGGCCTCCCCCCGGGGCCTGCCCTCAGTTCTCCACCTCTTGAGGCTGGGGGCGGCGGGAGACTCCCTGCTGCGGGGTGAGGGGGCGGTTTCCCGAGAGGGCGGGAGGGAGAGCTGGTGGAGGGGAGGGCGCTGGACTTGAGGCCCCCTTCAGAACAGTTGCTGGTGGAGTTGGGAACCGGGTGATTTCCGGGGCACAGGGGAAAAGGAACTGTGGTCGTCTTGGGGCCCCAGGGCCATTGGTGCGATGAGTCTGGGATTTGGGGTCGAGACAAGGAGGGGTGTAGTGGGGTTGTGCCTGGGCCCCCATGTCAGTGATAAATTCGGAGGGATGGATGCTGAAGGAAGAAAACTAACAAGAGGCATTAGGGACGCTTAGGCAGATGAACATCTTTGACTTGTAGGTAGGCATTGGATTTGTTGCACTTTTGAGGACTTGATTACAAATGATGATGATAATAGTAATCTAGAGCCCTAAGCCGAGTGCCCTGAGCGAACGATTTCCTGTTTTCTCATTTATTACTCTTGGTCACTGGGGAGGGGAAAACAGGGTGTAATTAGCTGATCTGCACCGGCTGAAAGGAAGGGGATGGAAATGGGTAGAGTAAGGAAGCCCTCTAAAGGGTTTGCCCACCTCCGGACCGGAACGTGTTGAGTCTGATACTCGAAGTTTGCCGCAGTGTCAGAGATCCTTGAGCCCCAGGTCCTGGGGTGTGCACTGGTGTTAGAAAGAGAAGAATAAATAGGGGACACTCTTTTCAAAGCCGGTTACCAAGCTCTGATTTTTCTTTTGGGGGTGGGAAGAAAAAAAAACTGGTCACAAACTTTTCTCAAAATGGATGCTTTGTGCATGTTAAAGTTTTATAGTAGTCTGATTGGGATCTCTCAATGTTAGCCAAATAAGGAGAAACTATTGGCAATCCAGAGATAATGTTGCCTTGCCTTTAACAGGCCAAAAGCAACACAACCATGTAGAGTTCTGCATAAAAAGCAATTTTTAAGTGATGGTAATAGGTGACAAGACATAGGCTTTTTCGATTTTCTTGGCGGGCAACTTGGAATAACTATAATAGAAAATGACTTTGCAGCAATAGCTTTCCCTTACAATGAAAAGACTTGTAAGCTATCTCAAAGTTGCCTTGGTTGTATGTGGAAGATGCATAGCCTTATTTCGAGTAATGCTGTAGTAAAAACTTGTTTGGGTGGTTGAAAACTCAAGGCTTTATTATATTTCATGAATATTAACTTGATGCCTTTTTAAAAGAGGTGTGTAGTGACATTTTTCCTTGTATTGCTTACTGTTTAAGGGAGTGATGACCATTTTAAATTTTATGTAATGGAATTCTCGTATCAGACTTGGAGTATAGCCTTTGTTTACAAAGTTGACTGGATACATTGAAATTATTGACCAATTGCAGGACAAATATGGAATTAAAAATATGGCACCCAGTAAAAATATAACAGGGTATCTAGCGTTTTCTCTATTTCATTAATTTAGATTCTCTAATGCATAGCAAACTTTTTATTTGGGTGAAGTTTATTTAAGGCATATCATAACTCTTAAGATTTTAAAACCATGGTGTTGAGAATGAAAGAAACTTTTGGCATTAAAAATGATAATGTAATTATGTAAGATGAATCTTCAAATTTCTTTCAAGTGTACTTTACACGTTTTAGTGTTTTAGTGTGAAATAGATTTTGATTATTACTGTAGGAGGTCAGGATAATTGGATAATTGTTCACATCAATATGTTTTATTCAAATCGTCAAATAGAAATTTAAAGTTACTATTGTTGTGGAGGAACCCAATTGTATTGGCCTGGAGGAAGACGAAAATTTTTGATATTTACATTGTTGTAATACTGGTTTAGGGAGGAAGAGAAAATACATTTAACTGTCTTCTTAAGATCTTTTTTTCTCCTCTCAATATTCACATGTTGCAAGAATTGTCAGACTTACCAATGTCTTCCTGATTAACTGAATTCAGTGGTCAGTTTGGTGTTGTGTAGCTGTATCTTTATTGGGTATTTTGTTTTAGTTGACAAACACTTAAACAGAAGTTTCTAAATTTACACCATTTGCATAATACTTTTCTGTCACTTTTTGTCACTATGAGTGTTTGACCCGATAATTTCCAACCGCCTCCCCTTTTCCATAACATTTTTCCTTATCTGCAAATTCCTTAAATCAATGAAGCCAAAATCTTTAAAATATCAAGCATTAAAATTTTTGTTATGTTTTCTTCACTCTCATTTCTTATTTATCAACTCTTGTACTTTTTTCCCATTGTTACTATGAAAACAGGGAGTTCACTTTGGGCAAATTTAGGACAACAGCTAGTGAAAGACAGTAAATAAACACACACACAAGAAAATTTTAAACTTTTAAGAAAAATCTCTAAACTTAGCTTGTTTTCCATACTTAATTCGAAATACTAAAATCACTGATTTAATAGTCCTTGAATAGTTTTGTAAAAATTTAACCTCAAAAGATCATAGAATACCTAAAATGTTTTACTGGGTTAATTATTGTTTATTCTTTTTTGAATATTTATTTACTTTTTGGTTTTGATCAAGTGTTCTAAATTTCATTGTCTAGAGAAAAGTTTTAGGAACGTCACAACCCACAAATATACTTTTACAAAATATAAAATCTAGTATTTTGCTTTTATTTTAAATATGAACAGCTTATATTGAAAGGTTTATTAATTTGTTGAATGTGCTCCCTCATTAGAAGTTATAAAAGATATCCAGTCTTCAGCTGTTCTTTTTGTATAGAAATATATTCTCTATATAGAAGAAAAAGCAGTGTTTCTTGTCAAATTTCCTATCTTAGTCTCCAGAATAGCCTTTCTTCCCCACCCACTCCACCTGGGACCTGACCCCCAAAGCTACAAAACAGCACAGAGTTAACCATAGATATAAATTTCCGGTTTTCTAGTACCGAGGTCTAGAGTAGAATTTCATTATTACCAATGGGGCAATAATCAGCTTCTGATTTTATAGCTACCTGGTAGAGTTTTACAGTATGTGATTATATCTCTATTTTGGCATACTTTATGAAGATTTAAGGAGATTAATAAGGTTATATATAGAATGCCTTATTGCTGATTCTTACTGATACTGGTGTGCATAAAATACAGGGCTGAGATTTTTCTCTAGCAGTTTTGAGTTTAGCCTGTTGATTTTAAGCTTAAAATCTTTTCTTTTTCCTCTGCGCCAGTGACTTCCAAGTCAGTTTACAGTTCCGTCATTTCTGCAAAGCTCCAAGCCTCATTTCCATTTTTTTGGGTTATGTATTGATTTAAAATGAAATATTATTAAATGTATTGCAATTTTATATTTAATAATGTCTTTTAAGTAGTAATATAGTAAATACAAGTTCACCCCCTTTGCCATAGAATGGCAACTACTGTATTCACGTTAACCTTTGTGATTTCTTCAAAGGATTTCTTGCTGTTCAAACATAGATTTTCATAGTTGCAATTCAGTATTATAATTTTACATTTATCCCTTAACATTAGAGGTACTTCTTTAGACTTTACCAGCATCCTTTTTAACTAATTATTTTAAAGTACTATTAATTTGGTTATAAGACTGTTTTACATCACTGTCAGGAATTTCTTTAAATTCAGCCTACAACAGGTCTATCTTTCCTCATCAAGCCTACTCTTCTCATTGATGTCCCTGTTTTTGTCAGTGATCTTTAGATCAAGTTAAACATTTTAGTTATTGTTTACTCATTCCCCTTGTCTATGTATAATCCAGTCTATCTTCTAGCTCAGTCTTTTCTTTACAATTACCTTGGCATCAGTTCTTTTCCTTGCCATTCTTTACTGGCAACCTAGTTCATACCTTTATTATTTTATTTTATTTTTTTTGAGACAGAGTTTCACTCTTGTTGCCCAGACTGGAGTGCAGTGATGCTATCTTGGCTCACCGAAACCTCCACCTCCTGGATTCAAGCGATTCTCCTGCCTCAGCTTCCCAAGTAGCTGGGATTACAGGCGTGTGCCACCACGCTCAGCTAATTTTGTATTTTTAGTAGAGATGCGGTTTCTCCATGTTGGTCAGACTGGTCTTGAACTCCTGACCTCAGGTGATCCACCCACCTCCGCCTCCCAAACTGCTGGGATTACAGGCGTGAGCCACCGCACCTGACCTAATTTTTATCCCTAGAGTATAGTAATAGCTTAATTGTTTTTCCTGCCTCTGTTCACTCCCTGATTTAATCTAGCATGCATATTGCTGTCATATTAATCTTTGAACAGTATCACTCTGATGATGTCACTCCTCTCTCTGAATTTGGATATAATACATTTCATCATTTAGCTTATGGTTGATATATCTCCATTGTGTTGTATCCTTTAT